GTGATGGCCGATGTTCATGTCCCGAAGGAGTTCAGGAGAAAGGGAGACCGAATCTCTGTTAAACTCAGATTCGTTGGTTACGAGCAGGGCTCCAAGGCATTTAGGTTTGCTACCCTAATGGAAAACTAATGATATCAAGGTCTGCCACCTTTCACGAAGGGGCCAACTGGAGTAAGATCCATGCCAATGAGATTCTTACTCGGAACCCTTCCCGTAGTTGTCGTAGGCAAACGGAGGATGTATCGGAGAACCTATCCGATGATAGGGATACATCTGGTTCTGGGGAGCGTGTATCCCAGGCACCCTTGAAAGGGATATTAAAGTGTAAGATGGGGGTAGCCAGGAAGGATAGGCACCCAGCTTCTGAGATGCGTAGCGAGAGTCACGAGGCAGATGACTCATCAGATGACTCTGATGTTAGTGACACGCCCAGAGGCAGACCAGTTAGGGCTACTAGAGGCAATAAGCCTAAGAGGTATAACGACTTTGTTACCTCAATCAACCAGGTTTCGGCCACACCTCAGAAATATGAGGATGTGCTGGCCTTACCTGACCATGAACGACAGAAGTGGCTGGCCACCATGGATACAGAACTAGACAGCCTGAAAAGGCTGGATGTATTCATGCCAACAAGATTGCCCAAGGACAAGAGGGTGATCGGCACCAGGTGGCTTTTCAAGCAAAAGCCCATTGAAGGTGGAGGCTTTATCTATAAAGCGAGACTAGTAGCGCAGGGATTCTCGCAGAGATTCCCTGACGATTATGAGGACACCTTCTGGCCCACGGTGCGCCCTGAGAGCGTGAGAACAGATCTCACTATCGCTACCATGCAAGGCGAACATGTATATCAATTCAATATTCAGACCGCGTACCTGCATGCCCAGTTAGACAAAGAGCTGTACATGAAGATTCCTCAGGGAGTAAGCCATCGGGAAGACGATGTTTGGTTGTTGAACAAGAGCCTATATGGCTTGAAACAATCTGGTAAGCGATGGTATGAGTGTCTCACTAAAAGCCTGAGAGAGATGGGCTTTTTACCATTGTCGGCTGACGAGTGTGTTTTTGTCAAGGAAGATCAGGGCATTAAGGAAACGGTACTGTTGTACATTGATGACATCCTATATATTTGCAGATCAGAGAACAGGCATAAGAAGTTCTCTGAGGACCTAAGTAAGAGTTTTGCCTTAAAACCATTAGGTCACATTAATAAATTTTTAGGGATGCAATTCGTAAAAACCGAGAAGGGGTTTCGGCTCTCTCAGGAAGATAAGATTCAGGAATTGCTTAAAAAGTGTAGCATGGTAGAGGCGAAGCCATGCAATACCCCTATGGCAACAGACTTCCTTAAGAGTATGTACACTCAGAGCATGAAGTTTGAAGATAAGACCCTTTACAAGTCCGTGATTGGGTCGTTGTTGTACATTGCAAATTGGACTAGACCGGACATCAGTCTAATGTGAATGGGTTATCTAGACATTCTGAACATCCCACACAGTTCCATTGGAGTGGAATCAAACGACTCCTGAGATATTTAAAAGGTACTGTGAATTATTCATTGTTATTGGAACCAGAAGCAACTAAAGAGCTAAGATTGAGTTGTTTTTCGGATGCCAATTGGGCAGGAGATGTTAGATCTAGAAAAAGTACCTCGGGGTACATCGTATACCTAAATAGTAGCCCCGTATATTGGTACTCTGGGAAGCAGAAGTTAATTGCAACTTCCACAGCAGAAGCTGAGTATGTCAGTTTGTCCAAAGCTTCCAACAACCTAGTTTGGTTCGACGATCTCTTGGTAAGCTTATGGAGGCAGTCCATACATCCTATAATAGTCTATGAGGACAACATGGCTGCCATTAACATATCGGAAGCCGATGCTGTAGGCCAGAGATCGCGCCATATTGATATCAAAAGCAAACATATGAGGCAATTGGTGAAAACAGGTTTCATTAAGACTGTATACTGTGAAACTAAGGAACAGGTAGCGGATGTGTTTACCAAACTGCTGCCCCGTGACCAACACCATTATCTCCTGGGTAAAATATCGATGGCTATGTGAATGTACTTACCATTGATGTGTACATGTACCCAATGTAGAATGTATGTTTGTTAACAAAATCAAAAAGCCGCAGAGAAGGGGATTGTCACGTGTTTTCAGGATTGCTGTGGCTACTTGATCAGTCACAAACAGTATGGTTTCAATCAAGCCATCTCCTGTTTGCAATTACCTGCAAGCCTTCCCCGCCCTAGTTAATTGCAGGTTAACTCCCCATATAAGCAAGGACTTTTTCGCTTGCTACTTGGGCCTAAACCCTGTTTTAGGCCTAGATGCAAGAGTTCCTGCTGGAAGCTGCATGCAGAGCTCAGTGCAACGTCGCAGATGGGAGGAGAAGCACAGATAAGGACTCCAGACGCTGTTGCAGAGATACTCCTACAGATGCTTGCCTTTTGCTGTTTTGAAGCACGCAAGCTATCATCGGAACTGCTGTTGCTGGACATTCTTCCTCCCACAAACTTCAAGCTACGTTTGCTGTTTGAACTGTTTTTACTTCAGGTGACTTTTAGCTGTGAAGTTTGTGCTGCCCCCCTTCTATTACCTCGATGATGTATCGACACCGAAGCTGCTTATCTTCATCTTAGCTTTACTCTCTCGTGAACTGTTTCGGTATTGTGGAGAGGAATCTAGGGAGATAGCCTTGCTTCACATAACCAAGATAAGACTTTGTTTTTAATGTGCTTTCTTAAAGACATAGTGCTTTTTAAACATTTTAAAGTAAATTATATTTTTACACAAGACTCCTCTGTCAGATTTATTTCAGTCCTAGTGCGTTTGCTCATGAACTGGTTCCAGGTCCGGGGGACCCCTCAACCCCATTCCCTAACATTGTTTAAGATTGTTAGATGTAATACCCTGTACTCTGCTCTGGGAAGTCTGGGGGAGGGGGAGGGGGGTAATGGGGGGGAGCTGGGCTTTAATTTTGTTTAAAATGTAAAATAAAATTATTTAAAAGATTTAAGGGGGGTTAATGGAAGGGTAAATGTTTTGATTAAGTAAATTTGAGTAATTTTTTTTAAAGATGGTAGTAGTTGAGATAGGTGATTTAAGATTAAGAAATAAGCATTATGGCAAAACAGAATATATAAAATCATGTTAAAGATGGGGGAAAAATTGTGTAAATTGATGACCGGATCAGGACTCTGTTCCAAAAACATGTAATTTGTGTGTCGAGAAAAATAAAAATAAATAAACTTTTTCCCAAAAAAAAAAAAAAAATCAGGAACACAGAAGCAATATTCACAGAAGCCAGTCATTACAGAGTAGAGAGGTACAGAGGCTAATATATTGGATAGAGGCACCATTGACCAAGTTGTTCTCTGATGGAGAATAAATTAGGTCTATTCAGTGATGGGCTGCAAATTTTTTAACAGCCGGTTCTCTGGCTGGGTAGGCGTGGCCAGTTGATCATGTGACTGGGGGGGTCATCATACCCAGCCCCGCCTCCTCTCCATCCGCCTCAAAGGCGGAGGTAAGATTCAGCTGGTTGGGATCCCTGCCCCGTCCAAAAAAAAGCAGGCCGAAAAATGGGAGGAGGGCGGGGCCAGCCAGTGGTGGGATTTGCTGGTTTGCCAAACTGCACCTAATCTTAACTACCGGTTTGCCAGAACCGGTGCGAACCTCTGGGTCTATTGCATTTTCTTTCGTCGCTTCTCTTGACGTAATAAATACTTTAGGTCAACATGTTTGCTTCTCTCTCACCTGTTGCCATTTGTGTACATGTTGTGTTATCTTCAAACACTGGTTTCATGCTCTTTGCTTCACTATCCACATCCTTTAACTATTGTGTCTACCGTGATAACTCTGAGCACAATTCTGACAATGCTATGAGCTCCGCCTCAGCCGTGGAATTGGCAACGGAAGTCAGTTTTCTCGATGGCCAGCCAACTAGTCGCCTGTTTGCACACATGACAACACAGTCCTGAGGTTGACCTTGTATCTTGTACACAGATCATCCCTAAGTGCAACCAATGCCGTTTCTGTCCTATATCCAAGCCTGAATTATGAAGACTGCTAAAGTTTTGGATAATCCATTTCATCCAGAAACCTCTGGAGCTGCCACACAGCCACCCTCTCCAGAAACTTCCCCCAAAAGGAAGATGGGTTGATCTTTGGATGACCTCAGAGGTCATCTAGTCCAACCCCCTATTCAAGCAGGAGACCCTTACAGAATCATAGAATCACAGAGTTGGAGGGCACCTTGGAGGTCCAGAGATGAAGCACCCATGACGTCTGGTGGAAAGCAGTTCCACTGGTGAATTGTTCTCACTGTTAGGAAGTTTCTCCTTAATCCCAAATTGTTTCTCCCCTTGATGAATTTCTGTCCATTCTTGGAAACCATCCAAGGAGAGAAGCAACCTAGAACCAAGGTGAGACCCCCCCCCCCACCCTCTCACCCGCAGAGGGCAAAGCGTGATCCCTCCAGGGAGACCAAAATTTGGAATTGTGGGCGGGGGAGATGGAATTGAGGAGGATAATTGGGGGTGGAGGGTTGTCGGAAGAAGGAGTTGCTTCCCTACTCCTGATTTGTGGTCTCACCTTATTTGGCTGCCAGGAGAGAATTCAGCAGCCTTCAGAAAAGGAGCAATTGTTGCTAAGTTCCCTGCTTTTCTCCTCCTTCCCCCCCTCCAACCTGAAGTTGCCTTTCCTACCAAGGAAGATGGGATCCTAAACATCCCAGGATCCCCTTCCCAATGTTAGGATCTCATCTACTAACGTCCTTCCATTAGCCCCCCCTCCCCTCCCCCATTGACTTTGCTAACATTAGGATCTCCGCTGCCCCATCCATCCGTTGGCATTCCCCACAGACAAGGAACCTCTTGCTCTCGGCTGCTCCCTGACCGCTTCCCCACCACAGGCCCAGGAGGAGCTCTGCCCTCGCCCCGCTCCACCCTGCGGCCCTGGGGAATGCCCGCTTGGGGGTCCTGGGGCTTCTGTGGGGTCCCACCTGGTTGAAGGGATCCGGAATACTGGGTGGCAGGTGGATCTGCCAGTCCTCCTCTGCTTCTGCTTCTGCTTCTGCTTCTGCTTCTGCTTCTGCTTCTGCTTCTGCTTCTGCTTCTGCTTCTGCTCCGCCAGATCTCCCCGGCCTTTGAACTGCGGGTGGAGTTTATCTTGGGAACAAAGTCCACAGGAAACCCGATGAGACAATCGACCTTTCCAGCCGCATCTCATCAGCTCTTCTGGGTTTCCTATCCTAAAAAGGGTCCCTGAAATGGGGACAACCTTTCCTCCCCGTCCTTGGAGGTCTTCTTCAGTGTCTGCTCCAGCCTGGGAGGCTGGGGGAAAGGATGAGGGAAGCAGAGGGTCTTCCTCAAAGCAGGAGACCCTGGGAAGCCCCTTACCTGCCCTTCCCCCTGAGCCCGGCAAGGGGGTGCAGCTGCCGCCCACTTCCTCCAAAGGCTGGACCACCTTTGTTGCCAAGTGTGGAGACCCCCCTGCTCTGTAGAGCTGCTTCTGCTCATAGGGAATTTGACTGACATTCCTCCAGAATGTGGAGTATGCCAAGAGAGAGAAGAGTTGGGGTCTTCTGGAAGGAGGCAGGTCTTCCTCCCACTGCCCCCCCCGTCTATCTTCCCTTGTTAAGGTTAGAGACCCTCCCCACTCTCCACCCCATGGTTATCCCCCTGGGACCTCCCATTGGTCTGAGGGGAGGGGTCCAGAGGGGGACCTCGGACTTTGAGACTCTCTCTGAAACAACTGAGATTGGCAGACTCCGATGATGCTCTCAGAAATCGCATTGATTTTCAGGAGTGTCCGTCAGATGTCGTCAAAAGTTGATTTGATTTAGAGAAAGGGCAAAAACTGTGGTTGCAAAATTATAAAATAATAATGTCAACTGCATATAAGGAAAATTTGTATAAGATGTTTTACAGGTGGCATTTACCCCTGACGAGAATAGCCAGAATGTTCAAGAATAAATCCAAAAAGTGTTGGAAATGTCATCAGACACCGGGCTCATATTACCATATGTGGTGGACATATGTAGAAGCTAAAAGATACTGGACTAAAATCCACACGTTGGAAAAAATGACAAAAAGACACATAGACTTTAAACCAGACATTTTTTTTTTTTATTAGGGATGGTGCCAGAAACATACAATAGAGAATTGAGATATTTGATTGTGAAAGTTTTAACAGCGGCTAGAATTGTGTTTGCTAAAAATTGGAAAAATGAGAAAGTACCAACTCAAGACGAAGTGATCAGGAAGATTATGGAATGTGCTGAAATGAGTAGATTGACATTTGAAATTGGAGAACAAGAAGACAAACAATATTATAAAATATGGAATTTATTTTATCTATGGCTAGATAATAAAACATGGAAATGAAATATGAAACATGAAATGAATGTTATAAATATAATATTTGAAAATAATTTTTATGAAGCAATAAAGCCATAGTTAAATAAAGGATAAATGAGGATACTTATTTGTTTGATATATGAGAAAGCAGATACTTATTAAACTTTGAAAATGGGGACGAAGCACAAAAGATTTGTAACCGGTAGACACACTGTTTGCAATTGTATTGAATGATGGATTGATGTTTTACGTTTTGTTTTTAAATAATTTTTTTTTTCAAAAAAAAGAAAGTTGAGATGGTGCCTCGGGCCTCTCTCTCTCTCTCCCTATCCCTCCAGCCTCTCTATTTTTTCCTCAGGCCCCAGAAAAACCGAAGGCACGGGTACAGTATAGGTGGGACCTCAATCAACAGTAGTAACTGTGAGAGGATCTTGGAGTCCTAGTGGACAACCATTTAGATATGAGCCAGCCGTGTGCAGCAGCTGCACACAAGCCGACACAATCCTAAATTGCATTAACAGAGGGATAGAATCAAGACCACGTGAAGTGTTAATACCGCTTTATAAGGCCTTGGTAAGGCCACACTTGGAATCCTGCACCCAGTTTTGGTCGCCACCATGTAAAAGAGATGTTGAGGCTCTAGAAAGCGTGCAGAGAAGAGCAACCAAGATCATTAGGTGGCTAAACCATAGAAAGAAACTGGGTCTGTCTAGCTTGATGAAAAGAAGGACTAGAGGGGATATGATGGCAGTGTTCCAATATTTGAGGGGCTGCCCCAAAGAAGAGGGGGTCAACCTATTCTCCAAAGCACCTGAAGGCAGGACAAGAAGCAATGGGTGGAAACTAATCGGGGAGAGAAGCAACCTGGAACTAAGGAGGAATCTCCTAAGGGTGAGGACAATAAATCAGTGGAACAACTTGCCTCCAGAAGTTGTAAATGCTCCAACACTGGAGGCTTTTAAGAGGAGATTCGATAACTCATTGTCTGAGGTGGTATAGGATTGCCTGCCTAAGCAGGGGGATGGACTAGAAGACCTCCAAGGTCCCTTCCAGCTCTATTCTGCTTGATTGGACGTCTGCTTGATATGGAAGTGGATCTTCTCAGCTTCCTCAGAGATCCAGCAGGCCTCACCTCTCACATTTCCTCTTCCTTGGCTTTAGAATCCCCGAATCCCAGAGTTGGAAGGGATCAGCTCAGTTTCAGCAACTGGCTTTTCTCCTCCCCTGAGGGCAACTCTGAAAGAGGAAGTTGAAGTGGAAAGTGAAAGCTCCAGTTCAGCTGAAGCATTTCTGAGAAATCTCCACAGATCCTGGAAAGCGAAAGTAGGGCTCGTTGTTAAGCAAGGAAGCTGGCTTGACCGAGGGGCCAGCAAATAGATCCTGCCTCTGTGGGACAGAGATTTATCTCAGCATCCCTGCCGCTGTGGGGCAGCAGAGAAAGGGGTCAGCCTGGAGGAGTCCTGCGGTTCCGTCAAATGAGATATTGGCTCGTTTTTTGGGGGGGGATCTTCTGAACTTCTCTGAGAACTTTGACACTGAATGTCCTCAGAGCCGGCAAAGTTTCAAAGTAGCCTCTCTCTCTCTCTCTCCTCTCTCTCTCTCTCTCTCTCTCTCTCTCTCTCTCTCTCTCTCTCTCTCACTCACACACACACACACACATCTTGTGGATTGTGTGACTTTACCCACCCCCACCCCCTTGAACAATGTTCTGCAATTGACCCTTCTGCAGGGAGTGTGGGAGTGTAGTTGGATGGATGGATGGACAGATTGGTGAATGATAGATGGGTGGAGAGATGAATGGATGGATGGAGTGATGGAGAGGGATGGATGAATAGATGCATGGATGGATGGATGCAGGGATGGAGAGATGGATGGACAGATGGATGGGTGGGTGGGTGGATGGATGGGTGGGTGGATAAATACATGGATGGATGGAAGGATGGATGGATGGAAGGATGGATGGATGGATGGATGGATGGATGGATACACAGATGGATGTTTAGATAGATGGATGACATGATCATACCATTCTTTCTCCCTGGGCTTGAGGAGATCACCAGTGACTGGACAATCAAGGAAGAAGTGATGGAGGATGCCTGCTGGATCTCTGAGCAAGCCAAGATGTCCCAAAGGAAGTTCTAGAAAGACCTTGGATTGTTTGGACCTTCTCAAGCTATGGAACCTCCTTAAGAAAATGGGAGTCCTAGACCATCTCGTTGTCCTGGTGTGAAATCCATGCTCAGGGCTGGAAGCAGAGGCTGGACCAAATGCAATGGAGTAGACCGGAGGTGCCTACAAGATGGAAAGAGGTTCTACTGCTCCGTGGTGGCACCCTCTCAACCTTTTGACCACGTCCTGCAGATACTCCTGAAAATCATGGTGATTTCCCCCATGATCCGAGTCCGAAAATCTCAGGAACTCACCCTCCTATCTCGGGAGAGACCCTCTGAAGTCCGAGGTGCAGCTGGGGACACACACACAAACCCCTCAGACCCACCGAAGTGCCCCGAGGGATAACCAGGAGAGGACGATGGAAGTGGAAAGGATGCTAATGTTGGCAGTGAGTGCCATCAGTGCAATGAAGACATCCCCCCTTCCAGGTCCATCTTCCTTACACACATGCACACACACAATGCACACAATCACATCCTTTGATTTCTTCAACCAGGAACTCTCCGTTCCCCCAGTCTGACATCTTTTAAGGGAAGCCCCCCCTCCTCTCCCCTGGGACCCCAGGTTGGAGCACGGTTAAAGGAAGGAGAAGCAGACCTTAAAGAGAGGGGGGTCACTGTTCCCCCCTTTTTTTTGAAAAGGACGGAGAGATCGAGCGGCGAAGCAGAGAAGGAGAGCAGCAGATCCACCCTCCGCCGGGGATTCCTGATCCCTGCAACCAGGTGAGACCCCTCCCCAGAAGCTCTGAGAGTTAGGGGCAGCGGAGTGGAGTGGGGCGAGGGAAGGGCTTCTTCTGGGCCTCCGGTGGGAAGCAAGCCAAGGAGCTGCCCCTTTGACCCGAGGACGAGCGGTCCTTCCTTTCTGGGGGAAGCAAATGGGTGGGTGGGGGGAGCTGAGACCCTCCTCTGAGGAAAAGCAAGCAGAGAAGGGAGGAGGGAGGTGGAGTGGAAGAGACGAACAATCAACTGCTTGTTTTCAGAAGTTGTGGGGGCTTCAATTTTATTTATGATTTTTTTCTTTAACATCCAAACGTGCTTGGGGAACCGTGTATTGTCTGGGTTAATATACTTTGCATACAATTCTGATAATGATATTACCATTTAAATATACATAATCATAATCTTTCAATTTTGAATATTTGTGTATACATAGTAATTATAATAGGCTATTATATTTCAGGATACATAATGCTATTTTCCCAATTTCTACTTTCGACTTCTTTTCTTCTAATATTTCTTGCGTTGGTGGCTTCTCAGCCTGATATACCTCAAATGATTGACAGATGGGAAGCCCGGGAGTGTCTGTGCTTCCAAAGGGACAGGGATCCAGGATGGGAGAGAATTAGGCTGTGGGGCCGGTTGATACTGGGGTGGGGTGGGGGGCAGGATTTTCACGTGGCTTTGAAGAAAGTCCTGTCATCCAAGGGGAGAAAGTGGGTTCTCAGGAGAAGGAATTGGCTCAGGGAGACTCAGCCATGAGTCTCAGGTACTTTGGAAGTCACCTGGCGAGGGCTGGATTAGAACACAGAACAGAAGGAAGGAAATGGAGGGGCTTTGGGAGAGTTGCCACTGTGGAGCAGAGGATCAATCAGTCTCTATGAAAACAACTTGAATTTTTCCTTGAACTTCTCCGCCATCAGCATGTCTTCCGTGTAATAAGGAGCATCCCCATTCTTCTGCACCAGTTGATCAATCATGGTCATCAGCTGGGCCACCTGAGCCTCTCGTTCTTCTCCTGTGGCCTTGTTGCCGAAAGCCAAGAACCGGTTCCCACAATGGTATGCCTCTTCCCTAAAACAGACACCTTCCCCAGATATGTATTCCTCCAGAGACCTTCCGTCCAGGTCCTCTTTCCGGGTGAACAAGAGGATCATGTAATTCAGGGCCCTAAAGCTGAACATCTCTCTGATCAGCTGAGCCACTTCCTTCTCGTCATGGGAGAAAAGGCCAGGACGCACGATGCGCAGAATGACATGTGGACCCGGGGAGCAAAACTTCATACACTTGCTCACTTCGGGAAGAGTTTCTCTCATGGGATAGCCAGTGTCCAAGATGCCAGGTGTATCGACCACCACAACCTTCCTGCCATTCAGCTGTGCCTCTTCTCTTTGGCAAGTTTTGGTCAGTAGTCTAAGTGACATCCCAGACACAAAGGCTTTTCTTCCCAGAATTGTGTTTCCTGTTGCACTTTTCCCGTTTCCGCCTTTGCCCACAAGGACGATCCTCCGCTCAGGTCCTACCAAACGGGGAAACAAGAAGGAGACGTGGTCAGCAGCTCCATCATTTTTCCCACCCCACCCCCACCCTGCCAGCCCCCAGGGCTCATGGCTTTACCTCCGAAGTTTGCAGTCCTACCCAGAGGAGTCGCCCAGGACAGATCTGGCGGTTTCTGCATGAAAAGAGAAACAGAATCAGCCAAAGGAGAAGCTGCCTTGCTCAGAAGTGGCCAGGAAGTGTCCTCTCCCAGAACGAACAGGCAGGACCTGAAGGGGCCTTAAAAGAGGGTCACCCCCTCCTCACTGCCCTTGAGGCAGTCATCGGATCCCTTCCCCCCTTTTTATGCAACCCTTCAAACTTTTGGATTCTGCACTTTGGGGCTTTCGGGAACAGTGGGCATTGATGCCCCAAATGGCTGGCAGTTCCCCGCAGCCAATGCGATGCTGAAGGGATCCTGTTCTCTGGGCCTTCAGCTGCAATTCCAGAATGACACCAAGTGCTCCCCAGACCCTCGTCCTCCGGGTTCCTCTCCCACCTCTCTCTTTGCTGGTAGGAATCCTTCCCGGGGGTTGAGGGGAAGCTCTGTGGTGGAGGCTCTTTGTTCCAACCCCTTCCATCCTGGGCAAGCAACGTTTGCTGGAAATGCTGATTGCACCCATGCATGCCTGCCCCCACCTGATGCTGCCTCCTAGGATACTTCCCTGCCCTTTGGCACTCCTGTCAGGTCTGCCATCTCCAACATATGCAGCTTTGCTGGCATTTTGCCATGAAATGTAGGGAGAAGTCAGGGTGATAGGAGGGGGGAATGACAGGGTGTCAGGAACCAGAGGTGTTAGTCTGGAACAGTCCAGCTGATCAAGGACAGTGCTGGGAAGATGGAATGCAATGGGAGATGTAAAAAATGCAGGCCTTGCTTGTGCTGTCACCAGTGATGGGATTCAACCAGTTCGCACCACTTCGGGAGAACCGGTGGTTAACTTTCTGAACAGTTTGGCAAACTGGTTGTTGGAAGAAATCATTAGGGCACAGAACCGGTTGTTAAATTACTTGAATCCCACCACTGGCTGTAACCACTTGACTTTAGTAAAACCAACACCTTCAATTCAACGATGGAATCGAGGGTCTTTCTTTCCTAAATGATCCAGTCGGGACAAGCCTGACAGTCTCTGTTCAAGACCTCAAGGGCCCATCCCTCCAGCAATCTTGTTGAATTCAAGCAACTCTGATGCTCCCTCATCCCAAGCATAGGTGACTTGGATCAGGCCTGGCCCCCCCTAGGAGTTTCCCCCAAGTAGCCCTGCCAGGTCCCACTCAGCCTTGGGACACTCTGATGTGCTTGTCCCATAAGTTGGGCTCCAACTACAGCTGGTTGACGTATCTCCCCCAATTCTCGGAAACAGTTCTCTGCAAAGTCTCCATCAGCTCAGAGACCTGCCTCTCCTGCTCAGCTCCCACAGCCCAATGATTGAACCCACAGACGGATCAGGCCCCACAGAGCCTCGTTGTTGGACTAAGAGGTGGAAGAGGAGCTGCTTTTGATTCTTGGGAGCCTAAAGATTTGGAGGATCGAGTAGAGACAGAGCGACATTCTCTCTTTGGTATTTTGGTGTGGTGAGTATTTTTTCTCTCGCTTTGACTTTTACATCTCCTATGTGGGACAAACAGGAAGGCAATTAAAAACAAGGGTTTGTGAATATCAACTAGAACTTAAACAGCACAACCAAAAATCCCTGATCTCGACCCACATTGACAATGAACAACAGCTGTTCGATTGGGAAGGAACAAAAATCATCGGCCATATCAGCACCCACCACACACATGAATTTATTGAAGTCTGGTATTCTATCAAAAGGGATGCAGTGGCTCAGTGGCTAAGACACTGAGCTTGTCGATCAAAAGGTTGGCAGTTCAGCGGTTCGAATCCCTAGTGCCGCGTAACGGGGTGATTTCCCATTACTTGTCACAGCTTCTGCCAACCTAGCAGTTCGAAAGCAGGTAAAAAATGCAAGTAGAAAAATAGGGACCACCTTTGGTGGAAAGGTAACAGCGTTCCGTGCGCCTTTGGCATTCAGTCATGCCGGTCACATGACCACGGAGACGTCTTCGGACAGCGCTGGCTCTTCGGCTTTGAAACGGAGATGAGCACCGCCCCCTAGAGTCGGGAACGACTAGCACATATGTGCGAGGGGAACCTTTACCTTCTTATTCTACCAAAGGAGCAATTCACAAGCATATGGATCTAGATCCAGGATATGAATACATAAGAAACCAGACTATTCGAACGACCAATCAACAAGCGAACCAATCAGCTGCTCAGAATTCAAATATAGCTCCAAACAAACAACCAATCACACGACCTACTGACCTACTGACCCACAAGACATTGATAAGCTAAGAAAAATAGGACAAGAAAATCCTGCTGATGACGTTACCTAGCCTGGTAATGAAATGTTCAGAAATGAAATTGAAACAAGCTTGGAGAGTAAACCTTGGCCAACATCTCATATGTCTCCAGCTCCCAGAATGGACTTCCAGGCACCCCTTCACACAAGCCAGAGCATGAGGGTCCCCAATTACACCTACACACCCCAACTGCAGCCATAAATTTTTGAATCCCACCATGAAGTCAAATGGGATCAAATTATTCTCCAGAGCACCATAGGCAGGGGCGAAATGCTACCGGTTTGCTCCAGTTCGAGCAAACCGGTAGTAAAAGAAAAAGCTACCGGGAGGACTTCCAGTGGCATCGCAGGCGCTGACAGATGCTCCTTTCGGACCGTCAGCCCCGCGATTTTGTTAAAACCGCCAAGACAGTGCAAATCAGCTGTCTGGTGGCTTGGAAACCTTCCCCTCGAGAGAAGAGAGGAAGGTGAGCAGCCGGACTAAGGTAGAGCTCCCCAAAAGCCCTAGGAGCAATTCTGGGGCTTGGAGGGTGAGAGCTCCCTGGTAGTCTAGCTGAGCTCCGAATCTGATGCTTTTCTGCTTCAAGCAGAACAAGACACCGTGACCACCCCTGCAATCAACATTCAGATTCAAAATAAGCTTAAAGCAGGCAGAACAAAAACAGGAGTCCTAGCAACTGCAAGTACTGAACTTTAACTCTGTGTCTATATTTCTTCCTTCTAAGACTTTTAAAATGAAAGCAAAAATGGCGCCTGAACTGTAACAGGGCATGAAAGTGAAAGTGATAGTGAAAGTGATAGTTAACATCGTTAGCGCTTCTGAGGCTGTTTAAGATTGCTGGGTTCTACAACAAAGAAAGAAAGATTTAAAGTGGAAAGGCTACACTTTGGATTTTAAATAAACTATAATACTTTTAAAAGATTTTAAAATATTTGGATTTATTGATTTGGTTGCTGTAGGAAGTATAAATTGAAAGCTAAAAATGGCTTCTAAGCAGATAAAATCTGGCTTTAAAAGTGCTGGAGGATCGCCAGCACAACCATCAAAACTACAATCTTTGTCTACTTCAAACCCACAAATATTGACTTTGGAAGTTCTACAGGAATCTCTGCAGGACGCTTTGAAGCAACAAACCTCTTTTTTAGAGGAGAAAATTAAGGGAGTGTCTGAAGAAATGGCTGAAATTAAAGAAGTTATACAAATTCGGAATAAGGAAATAAGAGAAGACATAGTAATGGCATTTCAGGGTCTGGCAAAACACATTGAATTGTTGGATGAAAGAGTAGAAGAAATTAACCAGTCCAATCTGAATTTGGAAAATAAAATGGATGAAGTTCAGACCAAGGTGGAAAGGGCAGACGATGAAGTGGTGATGTTACAGTATAGCGCGATGGAATTTGCCCTGAGAGTAAGAGGTTTGAGAGAACACAATCGAGAGAACTTGAGAGAGATCTTTGCAGAGGCTTTTGCATAGATAATGGAGAGCAACAAGCAGATCTCTCATTGCAAATTGACAAAATATATCGTGCTAATTCCTGGTTTGCCAGACAGAATCAATTGCCAAGAGACATTGTGATTTATTTTACAACGAGTAGGACCCGAAATGAAATTTTACAAGCTTTCTATAAAAATAAACTTCAAATTGCAGGACAAGAGGTTTTAGTGCTGAAAGAAATTTCCCCAAAAATGTTGAGAAGCAGAAAGGAGTTTGCTTTCTTGGTGGATGAACTTAGAAAATGACAGATTCAGTTTAGATGGGATGTTCCAGTTGGACTAATGGTGAATTATATGGGAGAAAGGTATCGCCTTAACACAATTTGGAAGGCAAGAAATTTTTATACTAATGTATTAAAGGCTGGATGCCCACCATCTCAGGAAATGAGGAGAAGAAAAGAAGAGCTGGCAATACAGGGACAGAAGGAAAGTAAACAGCCACAAGCTGCAGGAGAGACCTCGCTTATTGAAGAAGATTTATTGCGAAGGTTGTTGAGAGTGTGGTTGCGCAACAGCCTCCGCAGTACCTGGATGAAACCGTGTATCTAGACCCATGCCGGTTCAGCTTCAGGCCTGGATACAGCACGGAAACGGCATTGGTCGCGTTGGTTGATGATCCCTGGAGGGCTCGGGACAGGGGTTGTTCCTCTGTTCTGGTCCTATTAGATCTCTCAACAGTTTTTGATACCATCAACCATGGTATCATGCTGCACCAGCTGGAGGGATTGGGGTGGGAGGCACTGTGTTGCGGTGGTTCTCCTCCTATCTCTCTGACCGGTCACAGTCTGTGTTGGCAGAGGGGCAGAGGTCGACCTCGAGGTGCCTTGTTTGTGGGGTGCCACAAGGGTCGGTCCTCTCGCCACTCCTGTTCAACATTTATGTGAAGCCACTGGGTGAGATCATCCGTGGATTTGGGGTGCGGTGCCATCTGTACGCTGATGACACTCAGCTGTACATCTCCACCCCAAACCACCCCAACGATGCCCTTGAAGTGATGTCCCAGTGTCTGGAGGCCGTGCAGGTCTGATTGGGGAGAACAGGCTTTGACTCAACCCTTCCAAGACCGAGTGGCTGTGGATGCCGGCATCCCGATATAGCCAGCTGATGCCATCGCTGGCTATTGGGGGCGAGTCATTGACCCCCACAGAGGGTGCTCGCAACTTGGGATCCTCCTGGACACACGGCTGTCTTTAGAAGAGCACACAATGGCCGTTGCCAGAGGGGCTTTTTATCAGATTCGCCTGATACGCCAGTTGTACCCCTTTCTGAGTCGGGATTCCTTATGCACAGTCACTCATGCTCTCGTCACTTCTCGCCTGGACTACTGCAACGCTCTCTACATGGGGCTCCCCTTGAGGAGCACCCAGAGGCTCCAACTGGTCCAGAATGTGGCCGCGCAGGTGATTACGGGAGCGACATGGCGCTCCCATATAAGACCTCTCCTGCGCGAGCTGCACTGGCTCCCAGTGGTCTTCCAGGAGCGCTTCAAGGTGTTGGTTCTCACCTTTAAAGCACTCCATGGCTTAGGGCCAGGGTATTTACGAGACCGCCTTCTGCTACCGATAACCTCCCACTGGCCAATACGCTCTCACAGAGAGGGCCTCCTCAGGGTGCCGTCGGTCAGGCAATGTCGGCTGGCGTCCCCCAGGGGGAGAGCCTTTTGTGTGGGAGCACCCGCCCTCTGGAATGAGCTACCTCCTGGAATACGGTTGATACCGGATCTCCGCACTTTCCGTAAGGCCCTGAAGACGTTTTTATTTCAGCAAGCCAGCCTGGCCTGAATAGGTTTTATGGGTTAGTTTTTAATTGTGTAGCTTGGGGTTTTAAATTAGGAGGCCGATTAATTTAATTTATTTTTAGTTATCTTAACTTTCATATTGTATGTTATTTTAATTTTCGGCTGTTCACCGACCTGAGTCCCTTCAGGGAGAAGGGCGGTATATAAATTCAATAAATAATAATAATAATAATAATAATAATAATAATAATAATAATAATAATAATAATAATAATAATAAAAAAGATCATAGTCAACCTAAGAATTATAGGCCAATATTGCTTTTAAATACTGATTATAAGATTTTTGCTGAAATACTAGCAAATAGGTTAATGGTAATTATGCGAAAAATGATTCATAATGACCAATCTGGATTTATAAGTGGGAGACAAATGAAAGGTAATGTAAGACAAATTGTAAACTTATTGGAATATTTGGAAAGGAACAACCAAGTCCCTGCAGCACTTATCTTTTTGGATGCGGAGAAGGCATTTGATTAATTGAATTGGCAATTTTTATTGAAAATAATAGAAAAGATGCAGTGTGGAGAATACTTTACACAATCTATTAGGGCAATATATCAGAGACAAACAGCACAAATAATAATTAATGGTGGTTTAACAGAAACTTTTAAAATTGAAAAAGGAACAAGACAGGGATGCCCCTTATCACCATTATTGCTTATTTTAACTTTGGAACCTTTACTGAATAAAATACGAGGGTCAAATAAAATAAAGGGAATTAAAATTAGACATCATGACTATAGATTAAGAGCATTTGCGGATGACTTGGTTGTTACTTTAACCCAACCAGTACAATCAGTTACAGGCTTACTGGATATAATTAGCCAATACGGTCAAATGTCTGGATTTAAAATAAATAAACAAAAAACAAAGATAATAGCTAAAAATATGACGGTAAAGCAAAAAGAAGAACTAGAAAGACTAACAGGATTTGAAATAGTAAAAAAGGTTAAATATTTAGGGGTATATATTACAGCCTCAAATGTAAAATTATATAAAAATGATTATGAATTGCTATGGCAAAAAATACAGAAAGAGATGGAGAATTGGGGAAACTACAATTATCTCTGTTGGGGAGAATAGCAGCAATAAAAATGAATGTTTTACCTAGGTTTTTATTTTTGTTTCAAATGATACCAATACTTAAGAAAGATGATAATTTGAGGGAATGGCAGAAGGGTATTAATAATTTTGTTTGGGCAGGGAAAAGACCGAGATAATGCAAGATATATGTGAAAGAGAAGGTCTTAAAATGCCTAATCTAAGATTATACTATGAAGCAGCTGTTTTAATAATAATTAGTGAGTGGATTAATTCAACAGAAGAAAGAATATTGAATATTGAAGGATATGATTTGTTATATGGCTGGCATGCTTATTTATTATATGACAAAAAGGTGGATAAGACCTTTAAAAGCCATATACTAAGGAATGCCTTGTTACGAGCTTGGAAGAAGTATCAATATAAGTTAAATTATAAGATACCTATATGGGCAATACCCAGACATGAGGTAGAGAATATAAGTGTAGAACAAAAGCAAGAGGTGATTACCTATAAAGAGCTTCTTAAAATGGAAGGCGGTATATTGCAGTTAAAAATCTATAAAGGCATTAAAAGAAGAAAAAATAATTCAAACTTGGTTTCAGTATGGACAGTTGCAAGCTAGATGGAAAGAAGACCAGAGAATTGGTATCATGCAGAAGGAGGAAAATTTGGTAAAACAAATTAGAGATCAAAGCCAAATGCATATAAAAAGATTATATAATATATTGATAGAAATAGACTCAGAAACGGAATTAGTTAAGGATTGCATGATAAATGGGGTACAAAACATTCAGGAACCAATAATGATGGAAACTTGGGAAAAAATATGGGTTAGAAATGTAAAATTTACGCAAGCACAAAATTTAAGAGAAAATGTTTATAAAATGTTCTATAGATGGCATTTAGATCCTAAAAAGTTGGCTTGTATGTATCCAAATTTGCAATCTAAGTGTTGGAGATGTGATTGTGATGATGCTACTTATTATCACATATGGTGGACTTGTAAAAAAGTTAAAGCATTTTAGATTAAAATATGGTGAATTATCCAAAATATTCTTAAAAAGAAGATAAAGTTTACTCCACAATTGTTTTTGTTGGGTATAATCACAGATTATACGGTTATAGAGACTAAATTGATTTTAAATTTAATAACTGCAGCTAGACTTTTGGTAGCACAATATTGGAAGAAGGAAGATTTGCCTACTATTGAAGAATGGACATTAAAAGTGGCCAATTTGGCAGAAATGGTGAAAATTTCAGCATATTTGAAAGATCATTCACAAGAAAGATATATATCGGAATGGAGAAGATGGATTGATTATATTCAAAACAAATATCAGACTAAAAAGTATCAAATAGCTTATGAATGAATAGAAAAGTTAAGAGTATGTATATTTAGTTAAGTAAAAGGCGAGTTAAAGTGTCGAGGGGGGGATAGGAATCTGTAGTTAGTTAGTTTAGCTTAGCATATGATTGTTAATTGTTTTACCCTGTATTTTGTTATGGGAAGTCCGGGGGGGGCAAGGGGGGCGGGGAGGGGGGGAAGGAAGGGGGGGGAAGGGGAAATATTTGAATTTTTTTTCTTTTTTGTAAAACTTTTTAATAAAAAAAGAAAGAAAAGGAAAAAAAAGAACTGGTAGCAAACTGGTTCGGATTTCACCACTGACCAGAAGGCAGAGCAAGAAACAACGGCTGGGAATTAATCCAAAAGAGAAGCAAGAGAAACAGGACAAAGCAGGGATTCTAAGAATCTCTCTTTTACAGTCGGAATGTGGGAAGCGGTACCAGAGGTTCCAAACACTGTAGGAGATGCCAGGGAATTCTCTCTGCTCTCCTCCTCACATTCACCCAGAAGAGAATTACCTGTTCAGTCTTCTCTGCAGGATAGATGCAAGTGGTCTCCTCACTCCATCGGCTGATCTCAAGATGTGTCACAGCAGCACATCGGAATTGGTACTGAGTAGTGAGGTGCACATTTTCTAGGGTGAATTCATTCTTAGAACCTTCTACATGGAGACTTTTCCAGTTCTCCTCTCCTGCAGCCCGATATGCCACTTGGTACCCAGAGATTGAAGCCATCGCTTCGGCCATTGGATTAATAGTGATCAGGAAACTATTTGGTTTGACAGGCTGAACCTTAAGAGAGGGAGGACTTCTAAGAGCAGCTTCCAGCTCCTGACGTTCCTTGAGGATGTCCATGGTCAAGGTTAAACTTTTGGTCTCCACCATCTTTAAAGAGTCAAAGAAATCCTTCATGCTCTCAGTGCTCATTTTCCAGAACATTTCAGCAACCGCATTACGGCTTCCTCCATTTTGGGTGGGAGCAAAGAGAGCTGAATGGTTGAATCTGAAGTGCAGAGGGGTTCCTGACTCATCCTGAGCACACGGCAGGTCAGCCTCCTTGAGGGCCTCCAGGACAGGTGGGGTCCCCCCATCCGCAAAGGTGATCAGGAGTTGGATGTTATCCTTCACATCTTTTCCCAACATGGAGAGCATGGAATCAAAGACACATTTCTGGGCATGAGTTGAATGGGAAAGGAAGGCTTGGGCCACCAAGCAGATGGCATCCACGTGGTCAATGCCCCCTGGGGTGGAGAAAAACTCCAGGAGCTGTTTCTCAACCAGTTTGTCTTGCTCTGCATCGCCAAATCCTGGCGTGTCAATGATTGTGAGAGAATAGGGAATTCGGAAACATTTCTGATGGTTCACCATGTAGGCTGTCACTTCAGACGTCCTGCTTCCAGCTTTACTTCTTTGGGTGATTTCATGAATGAGTTTGAATCTGAAATTATCTTCCCACTGGACACCCAGAATATAATTGATCATCCCGTTGATCAGAGTGGTTTTCCCAGACAGGGTTGCTCCCATCACCAGGATGACTTTGTTGGGCACTTCCAGGCTCTCCTTTCCAAGCTGGTACATGAGACAGGAGGTGGAGGCAACTGAGGGGACTTCCTCCAGAGTAAGTGCAAACACTAATGGCTGGCTGTCCTCCACCAGGAACCTTTTCTGAAGGAACTGTTGGGCTATGTTGTCTCTGCCTTCTTTTTCCAGTGATGTGGAGACCTCCAACTCCTCACTGGGGACACCCAGAGTTCCATTATCACACACGGCCAACACCCGTATTCTGTACACTGTCTGGGGATTCAGACCTTCGATAGAGTAAAATTCTGTTTTTCTCCCAGTCCTTTTTTCAGCCCATTGGTCCTTCCCAACTCCAGCCTCCACCGTTCTGTACTCCACCTTGTACTCCTTGACCACAATTCCTGAGGCAACGATGCTGGGACTCATCCAGGCCACAGAGATGACAGAAGATGCTGCAGTGACCATTCTTAATTCCCCAGGAGGGCTGGTGGGAAGGGTCTTTATGGGTGGGCTCAGGTCACTGGTTCTACCATGGCCTACCTTGCAACAAGCAGCATACTGGAACTGGTACTCTGTGTTTGGAGGTAGATCTTTCAGCAGGAACATCTCCCTGTTGTCCTCTGTCCTCATGGTCTTCCAGTTATCTTCCCCTGCAACCTTGTACTTTACCAGATAGTTGGAGATGGAAGCCTTTCCATATTCAGCTGGCTGAAACTTCAGTTGAATGCTGTCGTGTCTCAGTTCACTGATCAGGAATTGGAGTGGTTTTGAGGGCAACTCATAGTTCTTGCTGACCAGCTCTCCATCCTCATAAAAGTGTACTGAGGCTCCTGGGGTGTCCACATCTGGTTTTGAGGCCACAACAAAGCGGACCTTCTCATTGGATTGATTGATACTGAAAAAGTCTTTGATGGATTTTGCAGCTTGGCGAGAATTGCGGGTCCTCTCCTTGTCTTCAAACCAGGCCATGCCTTCCTTCACCCCAGGACTGGATCTTGTGGACTTGGTTGATTCTTGCAAGAATTGCTCCTGAAGCCACTTCTGTAAGCTCAACAGAAATGGCTCCTCTTCACGTAAAGAAGTGAATGTAAAGGAGACCACATGTACATTCTGGGGGTCCAGAACTATTTCTTCCAGCTTGTTCTGAGATGAGATAACTTCTATATTATTTAGAATAGTCAGATAAGATTTGACAAAGTTAATTTCTCTTTTTTTGCTGTCCAGAAATTGATGGAGTCTTTGGCTGTTGAAGGGCGACTGGTTGACGGACATCAAGAGGTCCACCAGGGTCCCTTCCTCCTGCCCTCCTCCCCGGATGGAAGGCAACATTCTGGCCAGCTCTTTCTGGAAAGTCTGCCTGTGTTGCTTGCAGAGATCCTTGAACTGCTGGATCTTCCTCTGGATCTCAGGGAAGGTCTCAGCAATGGGATTCTTGGCTAGATCGTTGCTTTGCATCTGGATTTCATTGAGATCCTCCAAGATCATTTTAGCATCAAAGATCAACGTTAGGCTGATCTCACGGACCATCTTAGCTGCTGTGGTGTCCAGCTTGGTCAGAGGGTAGAGCCAGACCCTCATAGGCACAGCATTCTCCCCATCTTTCCCTAACATTTTTGGTAGAGTTTCATAAACTTTCATGGCATCTTGGAAAGTGACTGGATTTTTCTCCAAAGAAAAGTCTCCATGGAATTTGCACCTGAACTTCAGAGCATCCTCTTTCTCCTTCGCAGTCAGTTGGACCTCTGCTTCTCCTCCAATAGATATTTCCTTCGTGAGTGTAGCCCGGAGGTTTCCCTCTATATTTTTTACCATCTCCTTTGAAGAAACTTCTCGGTCAAAGACAAAAAAGGCCTGGGCTCCATAGAGGATGGCGGTGACCACATGGGTGGCTGTGCCATGCTCAAAGACGGCTTTGTGAGAGATATTCTGGATTCCTAGGTGGTTCATTGTCAGCTGTTCATACCTGGTGGTGGTTTTGTACTGAACGGTGACTCTGGCCTGTTTCTTGGACTTCTTTTTGTCATGAAGATACTTGGCTGACCCTCCCACTTCAACCAGCCCTCCCAGGAAACTGGCCGTGAGGGAGGCTGAGATGTCCAGGGCAGAGCTCTTATCATCTATGCTGTCGGATGCAATGATTTCAGATTCAGTTTTGGGCTGAGGCTTGATGGTCAGGTCCTTCTGAAGAGAGTCGTAATCCCAAAGGGTGACTCCTGCATGGAACAGAAGAAAACAGGGACATGAATTGAACACTGTCTTCCAAAACACCTGCAGCTGGACAGAGGAGCTCCAGAGAGATGGGACAAGGGAGACATCATTTCCTCTAGTGGGCTCCTTCATTTGTTCTGTCTGACCATCACCTGCATGTTTTGCAAAATACCACAAACTCCAAAGGCTTTTGACTGAGTAGAGGGGAATGGGAACTGCTATGCACCTCTTGATCTCCACTCCCTGGAGAAACTATGATTTTCATCACATGTTCTGACGTGATTTCTCTGTTCAGACCCCCCTCAGGAAAGGCACATCCCTCACTTCACCACTCTGTGAGATCTGAACTCCTTTTTAAAATCATTTACCAAACCATTTCAGTGACTTTGGTTCGGGAGAGGAAAATTCATCCCATGATTGGCAGTCAAGGGTGCCCCGCTGTGTGCCTGGCCAAAGGGTGGATATGCATTCCTAGGCAGAAGTCCCTACTTGCCTAGCTGCTACCATATTTCCCCCAAAAAAGCCCCACCCTGATTTTGTTGGGGTGGTGGTGGGCTTAATATAACTCTTCCCCCAAAATAAACCCGGTTGTTGGGTGTGGCCCACCGGCCCCTTGGTGCAGTGCAGATACTGCTAATTCTGGCCGCAGAGGCAGAGTGGGGGGAGAGAGAGGTGATCCAGATGTGCCGCACAGTTGCCTGGCTCCCAGGAGGCTCGTGGGAGGCTTATGCAGCATCACGGGCAGAGGGTGGAGATGGAGGCATGTGGGGTGGGGGAACAATCCTGATGCCTACTCCATGCAGCCACAAGCAAGCCCAGAGAAAAAACGGACTTCCCTTTGCCGCTTGGCACAGCACAGATACTGTTAAGTCCAAGGGCAGAGGGAGATGCAGTGGGGAGGAAGGAGATTGTTTCAAGGTAGATTTATTCGTCAGTAAAAGCCCCCTCCCCCCTTAACAAACCATCATTACAGGTATATATCTACATAAGGCAGGAACCATAACTACCTCACAGACGCAGCTGAAGGCAGCTCCTCGAGAGTCAGGAATACATCTCAAACAGATTCTGCCAAGGCTGCAGACATAAACCCTGTAACAGAGATCTGGACAGGCTGCATGGCTGCGTGTCAGCTTTGGAAGCCATATTAGCCCTGGAAGTTTCCACGCTGCCACCTTCTCATGTGTGGGAAAGTAGGAGGGGGGATTCAGTAGAGGGAATGTAGTTAGACAAAATAGCATTCTTCCTTTCGGTCAAGGTCGTGACAGTCCTGCATCTGGAGAAGGAGTGGTCGGAGTGATGTCTCGAGATGGGACGGATGGGGATTGGGACGTGTGAGGGACCGATGGGTGCAGGGGATGGATTTGGGGGTCTTGAGTCACTGAGGGAAAACCCGGAACTCTCAGATTTGGGCTTTTCCAGATGTGCCAGTATATCTATTCTAATAAATGGAACGTTGAGAAAATGCTTGCCTTGGAGTTTTTAATTGGAGTTGGGGTTTTCTGGAACGCTGACACTGCGTGGCTCACAGGAGGAGAGTAGGAGGCTTGTGCGGCAGCACCGGCAAGAGGTGGAGGAGGAGAGTGGGGGCAGCCAATCCTGATGCCCCGCACAGACGCCTATCCGGCAGGGCCACACACAAACCAAGTCACAGTGGGACAGAGCGGGTGGCACATTGGGATTGCCTGCCTCCCCCCCACCCCCAGCCCCGTGCCTCTGGCTTCACCTGGCTTCACCCCACACTATTCACCCAGAGGGAGACGAAGCTTCATCTGTTTGCAAATGGGACACTTTGAAACAGAGCTAATTGCTCCTTTTCAAAGTCTCCCATTTGCAAGCAGGTGAAGCTTTGAGCCTCCCTGATTTCTCTGTCCGGGCAAAAAGTGTTTGGGTGCCTATGGATCACTTGCTAACAGAGCATTTTGGCTGGCTGCGTCGCTTGGCCTCCTGCTCCAGTGCTGGGCTGGTACGGGAAGAAGTGAGCCAGTGGCCACGTGGACTCCTACTGCGCATGCAGGTGCTGACGCAGTGAGGCAGTGGTCAGAGCGTAGAGCCACGGGGCTCCTAAGGGGAGCCGGTGTGCATGTCGGGCACTTCCATGCCTGCCTCGTCATGGTGGCACTCAAAAAGTTAAGACACTCCCGAAAATAAGCCCTAGTGCTTATTTAAGGGCCCGAAAGAAAATAAGACCGGGTCTTATTTGGGGGGAAATACGGGTATTAGCAGGCCATGGGCCCAGGAGTCCCACTCTGAAGCATCCCTGGGCTGAGCCCATGCACTGATGGCAGCTCCAGTCTTCTTCCTGCCAGAGTTTCCCGCAGGAGATGCCCATCCGCTTCTTGTCTTCCGGCTCCTACCTGGGATGAGGGTATCCCTGCGGCAGTCGTACAGCATCCCCAGCTGGAAGGGGCGGCCCAGGGCTGGGGTCTCAATGGGGGCCTCTGCCTGGGCCATGCTTGGCTCCTGAGTGCCGCTGGTCCTTCTGGTTCCCTGTAAGAGAGGAGAAACTTCTGGAGGATGCCAGAACTGACCGATGACTCTCCGAGGGGACGCAGGATGTG